AACAAAGCCTGCTGGATGACCTTGGGCTAGTCACTTTCTTTGCCTTGGGAAGGAGGCAATGGTTTCAGAAGTGGTTTGTAACTAGTCATTGGTTCCCCCCAAAAACAATATTCTTGTGGAGACAAAATAAGAAATTGATAGATGGATAGATTTTTCAGTGTTTTTTATTCTTGATAATTTTAAGATGTGTAGACTTCAACACTCAAAATTCTGCAGCCAGCATGCTGGTTGGGGAGGTGAAGTTCATACATCTTAAAATTGAAAAGATTGAGAAAAATATTTTTACACACAGATCATTAAATATAAATATTAAACATATATTAAATATAATATATTAAATATAAAATTAAATATAAAATTAAATATAAATTGGATAAATAAGATGTGAAAAGATTGCTTCTAATCAAACAATTTGTGATGCAAGATATTTTCCAGAATGATTCTCCATGTGGGAACTGAAGCTGTATATCCAGCCACAATGACATATCCAAACTTTGGGGCTGAGTGTCTTGTTTAACTATATACCATCATATATTTATTTGGGCAAGATTGTACAAGTGTAGAGGTCTGGTATGACATATTCCATTCGTTTCTGAGAAGGGCAACGATTTAATTTAGAAATTATGTTCCATAATCTGATTTTATATTTCAGAAGTCCTAGCATATTTCTGAGAGCAACGTAATAGCAATTATGTGATAAAAATTTTGTATGATAGAATCACAGGACTATGTAGTGGAGTATTGGATCCCTCCCTGTTCTTTATCATATATGCTTCTAATGCCTACTTCATAGGTATGAAAATTAATTCCACCAGAGGGACACTTTTTATGGTACTGTGTTTGAGCTTAATTGTAAACACTTGAGTCAGTTGCCAGACCTTTCACCAAACAGACATGGCATAATAAATTCACCCATTGGTGGAATCTGCTGTGGGGAGAATGCTTTAAGCATTAAGTCTGATACTTCTGTGCTCAAATATTAACCATTACAAAGATAGCATCTACATATAATACTTTCTTAAAAGCACCAAAGCCACTATTAAATTAACCATTTGTACTGATAACTTTAGCTTCAATATTATCAGTCCTATCAATATCAACTAATTCATTTTCAAGAATCTAAAGAGGGAATATATTTCAATAAAATATACAGTGTTTGGCTTTGCAATGGTGAATCCCATTATAAGATCTGGCATTTATATTAAGGATAAGTCCCATTTGCTACCAATATCATAAAACTACTGATATTGAATTTTTGAATTAATCAACCCTATCTCAACTGCTATTGCTGCCCTTTCAGCTAAGTATTCTACTTGAAAAAACAATTACTACTTGGGATTCTGTTTTGAAGGTGAAATTCACAGAAGTCTGTGGATTAAAGACATTAAAACAATATCTAGTGCTTTATTTTATTGGCCATTCTAACGGATGATAGATTTTGGATCCAAAATTGGTCTCCTTTTTATTGGTTGTTTTAGTACTGGCGCAAAAGTCTAAATTCTGAGTTGTTTCACTGCTTGATATATGGCTCCCATTATTGATCTGGCTGTTTTTCTAAAATGACTATTACACTCTTGGAAGCACACTGAGCCACTGGTATCAGTCATCGTACCCCAAGTATTAATGTTAGTTTTAACAGACACACTCTTACCCGTTCATAGTTATCATCCAAAGAACCAGTATCATACTTGACAAGTAGTACAACTCTTTCTAAGTGGCTGACATCCATAATTGTGGCTGACATCTTTAATTTTGCCTGACATCCTTGTGCTTTGTGGTATATTGACATCATTTCTCTATTAATTATTAGGAACAAATCTGTGTTATATAAACAGCTCCTATATGAAAAATCACTGTTCTAATCAGGTCTGACCTTGCTTAGCTTTTCAATATTGGCCAGCTAGATACTGCCACCTGCTGTGATTATTGAAATATTAGCAAATAATGTTAGGAAAAATAAGAATATTTAAAATATAACATTGTGTAATTCCTCTGCTGAAAACTATCCATTTAGTTTTTTAAGACACTCAAAAGAATTATCCCAAAACAAATACATGAAGTAATGTGATTTCTTATTATTTCAGATAGTTTTAGATATTACAAGTAATACTAAGAATATATTGGCGCAATATTAAAATAAGAACTAAGTTGTAATAATAGAGTTACATTATTATTTGGCAAAGCAAAGACCGATAAATATTTTATCAAAAAAACTATTTCAGATTCTCCCAGTTCCATTTCCTATTAATTGATCTCATGTATTGCAAGACTATTTTTTCATTTAAACATACCGTATATACTCGAGTATAAGCCGAGTTTTTCAGCCCATTTTTTGTGCTGAAAAAACCCCCCTCGGCTTATACTCGAGTCAGATTCCCCTCTGAAAAAAAAATGGTGTGGAGCTCCGGAGCTGGGCAGGCGCTTCCCTGCTTCCGTGTTTCCTTTGCAACTTTTAAGCATGGGGGTAATCGGAAGCAGAA